AAAAAAAAAAAAAAAAAAAAATTAAAAAAAGTAAGAAGCCTTTGAAATCTGGTATATATTTTTCACTTGTAGCAAATCTCCATTTACCACATTGCAAAGACCCCAGGGCCACATGTGCCTGGTGGCTACTGCACTGCGCAAAGCAGCTCTGAGATATGCTTCCTCCGGGTTACATGGCTGGGTCCCTCTCAGCTATAATGTCCCCTCCTCACAAACCAGCTGTCTCTGTTGTGACAACTAAAAGCCACAGTTCTCCCACTTCCTATTACATTGCCTATGACATCAGCTTCCCAGGCAATCTGCTGTCACAAACTACCATACAGTAGGTAGCTTGAAGTGACAGAAATGTATTCTGCCAGAGTTCTGGAGCTAGAATGTGAAACCAAGATGTCGACAGGACTGTGCTCTCCTGAGGACAAGTCTTCCTTACCTCTTGCCATCTTCTGGTGTTGGTGGTCCTCTTTAGCACTCTTTGGCTTGTAGCCACATCCCTCCAGTCTCAGCCTCCCTCTTCCCATGGATATTGTTTTTCCTGTGTCCCTGAGTGTCTCTTTTCTTACCAGGACACTAGTCATACTGGATTAAGGTCTTGTCTTACTGAAGTATGAGATGACACTCCAGCAAATGACAACTGCAAAAACCCTATTTCCTAAAAAAAAAAATATATTCTGAGGTTCTGAGCTCAGAATTTGGGGAGGGTGCTATCTGCAGTGCTGTTTGCATTGTTGGCAAAGAGAAAGGGAGTGAGGGAAAAGAGGGAAGAGGTATACTTTTGATTTTGAAGTGTTTATTGAGATGGTCAAGCTACCACACATGCCTATAATCCCAGCTACTCAGCAGGCTGACACAGGAGGATCACAAGTTCAGAACAAGTCTGGACAAATAAGTGAGACTTTCCTCAAAATAAAAAAAATAAAATAAAATGGGCCAGAGAGGTATGTCAACAGCAGAGCACTCCTGGTTCAATCCCAAGTACTGAAGGGGCGGGGCGGGGGGGGGAGATGAGAAAATCAGGAAAGATTAGGGATTCCTACTTATTTTGGCTTGCAGATCAACCTTTCTAGTCTCTCTCCAGCCTCCTGCTGGAGGATTCCGGGGCCACCTGCAAGAAGAGACAGAACTACTCATTCCTGTGACTGCTGGAAACCTGTCCTCAGCATACCCCATCTGGGGATAGCAGTCACCAGGAAACCAGGAGAGGCTTGGGGAGAAAAGGCGGGGGAAATTGACACTTGCACTTCCTGCCCTCTCAGACCCTGCTGAGCATTTCCTTCACCCAGGAGGAGCAGTGTATGCCAGTGTCCATTTTCACAGCTCAGGATGCAAACCAGGGCTGACAAATTCTAGCTTTCCTAGTTCTCAAAAGAACCCTGAGATCTAAACATTTAGAGAGGTTGTCAAAAAAAATTCAAACAATTTAATCAAAGCAAACCCCCCCTCCATGATGGAGGCCAAAAAAGGAAAAAGGAACATTTGGCCAGAGGTTACCCATGACTGACTACCTCTTGTGCAGTGCAGTTCCTCCGTGAGTGTTCAAGAATGCGAAACTCTCAGACCGGGCAGATCAGAACAAGGTACAACTCTGGCCTGGAAACCCAGGCCAGACCTTTCTGCTTGAACCACCCCCCTCCCCCAAAAAAGTAAAAAAATGTATCCGGACACCCACTTGTGGCTGAAGCACCCAGAACATCCTCTTCCCCTATCCAACTGGGCCCGAGTAGAGATAAAGGGTCTTTAACCTCCGTTATATCCCCCTCAGTCCTCTCCAAACATTTGCATAAATGTGAAGATTGAAGGAAAGAGGAATGTGGATGCTTTGATTGCCCTGGCAACCAATCCAAGGACTATTCTTCCAGTAGCCCCCTTCTACATCCCTAGCACCACCTCTCCAGACTCTCAAGACCTGATCTTGCTCCCAGAGGGACCACAGTTAAGAATATCAGAGAGGGTTCCAGTCTGGGCCAGTCTCTCTAAACCTCACTTTTCCAATCTCTGAGGTTGGAACTAGGTCACGCTCAAGTTTGTGCAAAATTTGCACAAATTAAAGAAAGGTATTTTTCCCCCAGCATAGCTTTGAATTAAGACACACAATTTGGTGAGCACAGAAAAGATGACTTCAGGTCTCCTTTAGCCCCTGGGCGGCTGGATGCCCTTGTTCAGAGGACACCCACACTTGGCCACTTAAATGGCCTCTCCCTTGTGAGACCATTATGAGAACTGGATGTCATGCCACTTGAAAAAGGCTTAACACAATTATTGGTCAGTAATACTAGTTATTCAACATGTTATATTTTCGTCTAAAATTTTTTACAACAGAGAATGTCATGGAAAAATCCTACAGCAGTTCTTGGGGTTCACAAATGATTTTTGGAAGTGTGAGGACAGAGAATTAAATTAACTCTGAGTGGGACAAAGCATCCTTTTCCTCCGAGGTTCGTTATTTAGCACCTCCAGCACTTGTTAATGACACGTGCATGTACTTGAACCTCTAGCAATCTTTCCCAGGCAGGCATGGGTATGAACAGTGCTTGATTTTAGCTACTTATCTTTCAGAATTTCCTTCCGTGGCAACAGCTACTTGTCAATTTACGGTCACAGTAGTAGCAGGAGTACCAAGTTTTCTTTCTAAAAACATGTACTTGCGTGTTCAAAATGACAATTTAAGGGAGATGCTTAAATCAATAATAGTAAAAGTGGGAGTAGAAGGCTGGATGTTTGGGAAGCTTGACCTGGGACAGTTCTCCACAGGACCAAATCTTTACATTCTGCTTGAGAACCAGAAGTTCTGGGCTTCCCAAATCTATCAGTAGGAAAAGAAGAAGGGGATTCATGCAAATGTTGGTCGGTCCAGAGGTCTTCTGCTCAGCTGTGTCCACAACCTGGGCTCCAGGCTCTTTCACGGTGGTTCCTTGGAAGTTAACTCAGAGTTCGCCCCCTGACATTCACAGGCCTTCATCTTTTCTGCAAGGCAGTCTGGGCCGTGTCTTCTGAGATCCTCTGACCTCAGCGAGGAACCTCCACTCTCCCCTGATCCAGGCAACTCTGCCCTTCCTGCGAAACCAGAAGCCAGTGGGCTCCTGACTGACTGCCCAAGGACCTGACTGCAGCCTTCCTAGGCCAAGCGATACCAGTGCACCCTCCAAGATTAATGAGGAACCAGTGGGGCAGGGTACACAATGCGGCCGTGTTTGATCCCGAGACCTGTGGCTGGGAATCTCGAACAATTTATAGCCATTCGACGACGTCGTCAGGCCCTAATTTCCTGGTGGCGCCCCATCTCAGGCCTCTAAACATCAGGGGAGGGCGTAGGAGGCCGGTGGGTAGGAGGCACTGAGGAACTTGGACGAGCAAGCAAGGCTGAGGTTTCCATAACCAGGCTCTAATGAGACGAGTGCAACCGGTCTTTGTGGAAAAGCGGGGAAGGCAAGGCAGGTCTGGCGCTAGGCGAGGTCATTTCCTCCCCAGAATCCTAGAACCTGCGCGTCCCTTGAGGGGTGACTGCTGGAGCCCTGCACCCACTTCGGGGTTGTCTTGGGCCCCTACCACCCTCCCCCGCTCCAAAGTGCTGCAGGAAACGCAGCATTTCCATGCAACAATGCAAACGCGCTCATTACCATATCCTCAATATGCATGAAGAAAATGCACGACGCTGGAGAGCCCCATCACCCAGCTCTGGCCTCAGCATCCAATAAGACGACATATGCATCTCCAAAGATGGACGAGGAGGGGGCGGGGAAGCCGATCCACCGGGTGGGGGACAGATCCTGGAACGAGAAAGATGAGGAAAGCCTCAGAGAGACCAAGGAATCTCTGCGGAAGGAACTTGGAAAGGGTTAGGATGAAAGAGAGGGGGATAGGAAAGAAAGAGAAAGAAAGAAAGAAGGAAAGGAAGAAAGAAAGAAAGAAAGAAAGAAAGAAAGAAAGAAAGAAAGAAAGAAAGAAAGAAAGAAAGAAAGAAAGAAAGAAAAAGAAAAGAAAGAAAAGAACGAGCAGGTGAGGAAAAGCACACCGTCGCAGCCAGGAAGAGGGATAAAGGGACACAAAGGGAGGGAGCAGAATGGAGAAAAGTGAACTAGACAGAAGTCGTAACAAAAAGTATAAGACACAATCAGGGAGCGGAAGACAGAAAAAAATGAATGAACTAGAAACCGAATATACAGAAAGCGCGAGGGATAGGCAGATGGACAGAGTAAAACAAAGGAAGTGAGGGCAGCGAAACTGCTCGGCAGGTGGGAAGGGGTAAAGAAAAATGAAATCCTTCGCGCTAAGGGTCTGGATTTTCGATCCAGGCCATTGTTTTGAGCGCTGCGCCCTCACGGACACCCTGCGTAGTGAGCCAGGTGCGGAAGTCGCGCGGCGGAGAGGGGAGCCGCCCAGCTGGCGACCCCGCTTCTCCCTGGGCGCCCCAGCCGCTCCCGGGTGCACAGGCCTGGCCCGGGGCCCACCCTGAGCCTCCCGGCCCGCTGTCGAAGCAGCCACTCCGGCTGGTGGCCTCTTTCGCGCCGAACACGCAGTTGGCAAAGTTTACCCCGAAGTTTCCCGTCACTTGTCCGGACCCAGGGGAGGTCTCCCAGGATCTGGCGTCTGCTAGCGAGCAGCGGCGCGTTCCCGGGTGGCTCTGCGGGCCCCTGGCCCGCGTCTCCTAAGATGCTGCGAGTCTGGATTCCTGGCCAAGTCTGAATCCCACCCAGTGCGTCTGCCAGGCCACGCAGAAGAGAGCCCGCGCCCGCTGCTAATAGCGGAAAGAGAGAACGAGAAAGGGAGAGAGAGGGAGAGAGAAAGCGAGAGAAGGAAAAAAATATTCTCAGCTCAATTTAAGTCTCATGGAAAGGGCTTACAACTGTAATTAAATCATTAAATTCTTGTCTACGCTTCACAGAGCGGAGAGAAATTAACTTCCCACCAACCTCATTTTCTATTTGAACATGAAATAATGATTTTCTGCCCGTCTAATTACAAAGCCAACATCTGATCAAGCCAGCATCCAGGGGGGATTATCGCATGCACGAGTATTAGACCTCATTACCAGCTTGAGTGCAAAATTATTACATCTTGTAATTGGATGGTGAGATTTATATACAGATCGGCCCGGTTTCTGTAAGATTGTAATTACAAGCTTCGTTGGTTAGCTACTTATCAGAACTTTGCAGGAAAACAAAACAAATGACTGAGGAAAACGAGCATTTCATTAACCTGTAACCCGAGCGCGGGGGGGTGGGGTGGGGGGAGCGCGCCACGGCGCCTGCAGGAAGCCAAGGGATAGCCAACCTGCACCGCCGCCGGGGGGCTTGGAGCCTCGGAGGCAAGGACAGAAGGTGGGCCTCGGCTGGGAGACCCGGAGCTGCAGCGGCTCCCCACCCCCACTCCCCAACAGGGACGTGCGCACTCCGGGAGACCTGGCAAGGAGGGACGAAAGGGGGCCCGGTGGCTCCGGGTTTGCGTGCAGTGCGCGACGCGGCTCCAGAGCCTGTCGAGCCTCGGGCCCTGCAAACACGTCGGGTAGCGGCTCCTTGTGCGCACTGGGAGCGCACTATGTGCGCCACGCGTGTTCGGTGGACACCGTTTCCGCACACTCCCTGGGCCCTGGCTGCGTTCATAGAGCGTCTGCAGCGAGCCTCCAAGGTGCTTTGTGCGCTGGAAATGTTGGAAGGAATGATGGAGGAGCTGCGTGCAGCGCGTTCGCGCGCGCATGGCTTTCCCAAACCAACTTCCAGTGCACCTGCTTTTCCTTGCTGGGCGAGCCGGTCACTTTGACGAAATCTCTTGGATCAAAACTCCGAGGAAATGGTTCGGCTGCTGGCGGACCGCGAGTTGAGCTCAGAGTCGGGCTCCACTGGCTGGATCCTGTTGGGAGACCAACGCCACAGCGGGGCTCTGCTCCCCGGGACGCTGAGTTCAGACTTGGGGTTCAGCTGTCAGGCCCAGGCCTACACTGTTCCCAGCGGGAGGCTAGGGGAGGGGAGCCTGCTTTTGCTTGGGGCCTAGGGAGTCTGGAGGGATCTAATCAAGTGAGGTGCGGAGTTCGAATCTGAGTCTGGAGGTTCACAGACTGGGCCAGGGGCGGCCCCCAGCTGGCTTGACTGGTTCCTGAGTACTCTCAGCCCTTTCCGATCCTTTTAACCGCCGCCTGTAATCCGACACAGCCAGGTCGATAAACTGGTTAACGCGGAAGGAGCATCTCCGAGACTCGTGATTTGTTTTCTTTTTTCTTTTTCTTTCTCTCCTTTTTTTTTTTTTTTTTTTTTTTTCTTTTCCTTCTGGAAGAACTGAATCAGATACTGGGCGTTTCATCCAAGCATTTACATCAGCGCAGCCCCAACTCTCCCACCCTGGAATCTTGCCCTCACGCCCCCCTACACACACACACACACCCGTCTGGTGCCACCATTTTGTGCAAATTTTAGGACTGCGGGGCTGCGGAAGGGCCACGCCTAAGAAAAGTCCTGGGAAGTAATGTGACCTAGAATATTTAAACTCAGATTGTTCGTGAGAAGGTGAGCCTAAGATTCTCTAGGACACGCTCTGAGAGGTTTAGCTGTAAACGAAATCAAGCTCTGGGGACACATTTCAAGGCCAGGGCTGCCCCTGAAGTCGCCTCCTATGGCTAGGTCCGCCTAAAGCCAATGCCCAACATCAGGCGGAGGCAGGCGTAGAGAGGAGAGCGAAGCAGCTCAGACTTAATTTGGGAAGACTCGTTTTCCCCATCGAACTCTAAACCTGATTCTTCCCAAACTTCCTTTGACACTACCTCCTCTTTTATTTTCTTCGCTTCAAATCTGCTGGCGTCATAGACCAGCGAAGAGAAAGTGGCGAGAAGTGGGGGTGAGATTAAAACTGGGTGTCCAAGGCAGCAGCGGAAGAAATTTTTGCATGCCCTGTGCTCCCCACAGCAGCTGTGACCAGACAGCCGGGCCAAGACCCTTGGATCGCTCCGCTCTGGTGGAATTCGGATTCAATTCCTCCATCAATCAGTGCTGGGCGACCGGCTTCCGCCTCTGAGCTGGAGCAGGACACTGTACTGACGAGTCGCTGCCCCCGAACTGTCCCCAGGGCACACCCGCCGCGGGCCTGGCCCTCGCGTGGGTCCCCGCGCCGGCCTAGAAGCGCTTAGCCGGGATCCGCAGCAATTCCGGGGATTTCAATGCCGCTCTCGATTGCACGCTGTAATCCGCGAAGGTGGGCGCTTAGATACTGGTATTTCAAGTAAGAGTTAGGAAATTTCCTACCATAAAACCAAAAATCTTGTTTCCTCTCCCCCCTCCCCTGGCGGTGGGAGGTTCCTTTCCGAAGGAAAACGGGCTGGCACCAGAGACCGAGCAGAGGAAGGGGTAGCGAGAGGAAGGATCTCGGCAGACGAAAAGGCCAGTACAGAAACTTCTCCCAGTGCTCTCTAAAAGTTACCGGGCCCTCCGCCGTCTTGTTCCCTGCCTCTCCCCCACCGCAAGCCCTCAGACTTTACTAACTCTTCCGGGCTCCCCAAAACCTCCGGAGCGTCCACCCTTTGGCCCCAAGCTGAGATCGCCATTTCTAATAAAGGTATCCACCCGGACACCGGGGAGACGTCAAATGTGGCAAACTGCACGGTTAGGTTCTCGGGGTAGGATGCTGTCACCCCACGGGCTGGGCAGAAGAGTGGCCTTTAAAGACGCCATTTGGGACGCACTCCCTCACCCCTGCTCACTCTTCCAGCTTCGTCCTTAGCCACGGAGCGTGGCTGACAGTCGCTAGGTGCGAGCTGAAAAGGGCACCCGGGCGCAGTACAACCCCAAGCCTGGCTTGGCCCAAGGTCCGGGCCGCTCCGGCCTATCGCTGCGGCGGGAGCAGAGGCTCAGAGGAGCGGGAAGCAGGGAGGGGCGCGCTGACCCAGTCCTAAACCGCGTGCCCGCGCCTCTCCTCCCGCCTCCGGGCGCGGGCAGGAGGAGGCGGGCAGGGACTCGCCGCGCCCCGCCCGGCGCACGTTATCCGCGGGGGTGGGCGGCCTCGCCTGGAAGGCGCCCCGGCGATTGGCGACTCGGGGAGGAGACGCGAGGAAAAGTCGAATAAGAGGGCGCGACGTCAGACCTGAGATTTAGGGAAGGGCGAGGGAGGGGTGGAAGGGCGGGGACGGACAAACAGACTGGGACACACACCCCCCGCGCAGCGCCCTAAATGTCCACAACTTTAGGCCGCCCGAACCCAGGGCGCAGAGGACAGGAAGGTGGAAGAAAGAGTACTGTGAGTCAAGAGAGGGCTTGGAAAGAGGCGTGAGAGAAGAAAAAGTGAAGAGGACAAAAAAGAGGACAAAAGGCAATAGTGAGAAAAGGGGGAAAGAAGAAAAAAAGGAGAGTTTCCTAGTGTCCAGGACAGGGACAGCGCCCGAGAAGCGGAAGCGATTCTGGGGGGAAAGAGAGACGCAGCGAGGGGAGGGGAGAGGAAGGGAGAGGAGGGGGCGTGAAAAGTAGAGGAGGCGAGAGGAAGCGAGGCGCGACACTGCTCAGGGAGAGGAGGGCAGTGCGGAGCGCGGCGCTGGCACAGGCCGTCCGGCTGCGGAGAGGAGGGAGCGCGGCGCAGAGAGGAGGGGCTTGCGGCCCCGTGGAAATGTCAATCAGAGCCCGGAGCCCGGGGAATCTCCGCCAATCTGTTCGGACCTGACCTGGCTCCTCGCCGCCGCCACCGCCGCCGCGGAGCAGATCAATAGGCGAACGCGGAAAGCAGCGCAGCGCGGGAGGCAGCGCGGCCCAAGCTCGGCCCAGCCCCCGATGCGCGCCGGAGCCCGCGGGCGGCGCTGAGTAGGGCGGCCCCGGGGGCCGGGCCCCCTCTCCGTCGGTGCCCCGCGGGCCACCATGTCCTTCCCCCAGCTCGGATACCAGTACATCCGCCCGCTCTACCCGCCTGAGCGCCCTGCAGGCGGGGGCGGCAGCGCGGGGGCCCGCGGCGGCCCGGGAGCCGGAGCCTCGGAGCTGGCGGCCTCCGGGTCCCTTTCCAACGTGCTCTCGTCCGTGTACGGGGCGCCCTACGCCGCGGCCGCAGCGGCGGCGGCTGCTGCCCAAGGCTACGGCGCCTTCCTGCCCTACGCCGCGGAGCTGCCCATCTTTCCGCAGCTGGTAAGAGCCGGAGGAATCCGGGAAGGAGGGGTTGGAGCTGGGGCGCTGGGCGAGGTGAGCGCGCGGGAGTAGACTCTGGGTCCGGGCCAAGAGGGTGGAGGCAGCGACGGCTGAAGCTCACCCGCGCCCCCTCCACGCGTGTCCCCTTCCTTTCCCATGTGCGTACAGGGCGCGCAGTATGAGCTGAAAGACAGCCCCGGGGTGCAGCATCCGGCCGCGGCCACCGCGTTTCCGCACCCGCACCCGGCCTTCTACCCCTATGGCCAGTACCAGTTCGGCGACCCGTCCCGTCCCAAGAACGCCACCCGGGAGAGCACCAGCACGCTCAAGGCCTGGCTCAACGAGCACCGCAAGAACCCCTACCCCACGAAGGGCGAGAAGATCATGCTGGCCATCATCACCAAGATGACCCTCACCCAGGTGTCCACCTGGTTCGCCAACGCGCGCCGGCGCCTCAAGAAGGAGAACAAGATGACGTGGGCGCCCCGCAGCCGCACCGACGAGGAGGGCAATGCTTATGGGAGCGAGAGGGAGGAGGAAGACGAGGAGGAGGACGAGGAGGATGGCAAACGCGAGCTGGAGCTGGAGGAGGAGCTCGCGGGGGAGGAGGAGGACACGGGGGGCGAGGGCCTGGCAGACGACGACGAGGACGAGGAGATCGATTTGGAAAATTTGGATGGCGCGACTGCCGGACCTGAGATGGCCTTGTCTGGGGCTACGAGGAGGGACGGCGACCTCGGCTTGGGACCCGTTTCGGACTCCAAAAATAGCGACTCTGAAGACAGCTCCGAGGGCTTGGAGGAGCGGCCGCTGCCTGTCCTGAGTCTGGCCCCAGCCCCACCGCCAGTAGCCGCGGCTCCGCCGTCTCCGCCCTCGCCTCCCCCTGGCTTGGACCCCTGCGTTCCAGCACCAGCTCCTTCCTCCACCCTGCAAAAACCCAAAATCTGGTCCCTGGCCGAGACGGCCACGAGCCCAGACAACCCGCGCCGCTCGCCTCCCGGCGCAGGGGGCTCTCCTCCCGGGGCCGCCGTCGCGCCCCCCGCCCTGCAGCTCTCTCCGGCCGTCGCTGCCGCTGCGGCTCACAGACTCGTCTCCGCGCCGCTGGGCAAATTCCCCGCTTGGACCAACCGGCCGTTCCCAGGTCCGCCGCCTGGCCCGCGCCCGCACCCGCTCTCCCTGCTTGGTTCGGCCCCTCAGCACCTGCTGGGACTTCCCGGAGCTGCGGGCCACCCGGCGGCAGCCGCCTACACTCGACCCTCGGAGCCCGAGGGCGGAACAGGTGACTGCGGCGAGCGCGGGGAGCAGAGGGAGGAGGTCGGGGTCGCTCTCGGGGGCAGGGGACGGACCGGGTGCTTTCCTCTCAGTTTCTGCGGGCGCCTGGCTGAGCTTTCTAAAGGCCCTCCCGTTTCTTCCCTTCGCTTCCTCCAGATCGCTGTAGTGCCTTGGAAGTGGAGAAAAAGTTACTCAAGACAGCTTTCCAGCCCGTGCCCAGGCGGTAAGACACCCCAGACTTGGGGAAGGGGCGGGGAGATGGGGCAGGAGGGAGCAGTAAGAACTCGGAGTCAAACCTGCGGTCTTTTGCCCCAAGGGGAACATAGCTGGGAAGCATTTTTAAAAGGGGCACGAAACTCACGCCATCACTTCTTGCGGACCCGGAAACTACTTGCTCTCCCGAGCCTCACCGGGCCAAGAGGCCCTGAAGCAAGTGGCCGCTCTGTGACACTCCCTGGCTTCCAGCCCCGGACCTCAGGTCCCGACGCCTACTGCCCATCCTATAGTTAAACCTCAGCACAGCGTCCACGCCTGAGCACTGTTTTGCATCGAGAGGTTTCCTCACCCCTGGCCCCTGGCCCAGGAAGGGTCTCGCGGCCCCAGGTGGCTCAGCCTCGAAAATCTCACCTTCTTTGCTACCACTGTCTCTCTTTTCCAGGGCCCAGAACCACCTGGACGCTGCTCTGGTCTTATCGGCTCTCTCCTCATCCTAGTTTGTTTTTTAAAAAAACAATTTTTAAATTGTTGTAATAATTGTAACAAACAAACAAAACAAACAAACCAAATTCCTCTGTATAGTTAACGACTTGTAAGCATGTCCGTGTATGAATACCTAAAAGGAGAAGTTAAAGAGAAAGAAAAAGAAATAAAACCAGTCCCCCTCAGACCTCCCCAAGTTGCTTCTGTGGCATCCCACATTCGCAGCGATTGTGAGGTGTGTTTGTTCAGTTGATGGGGGGGTTCAGTGAGAATAAGCATATCTGACATTTTTGTATATACAGATAAATGTACATATGTGTGAACCAAATTGTACAAGAAAGTATCTATTTTTGGCTAAATAAATGAGCTGTTGCCACTTTGACTATACAACCGGCCTGTCTGCCCCGGGACGGCTCTGTTTGGTGGTTCTTTGCGGGGTGGTTTTGGTTTCTGTTGTTTCCCCGCCACCCCCCACCCAGCTGAAGAATTTCCCAACCCTTTAGGAGAGAATGAGTGAGACCCGATCCTGTGGTCAGGGGACAGCAATGGCGGAGGAGACACACAAGCGGTGGGGTTGGGGTCGCCCCTGGTGAAGCAGTGGGAGCAGTTTCAGGTGTCTCGAAAACGAGGCAGAGCCTGGTGGGAAATCTGAGCAAGTTTCCCTGCTAGGAGCTGAGAACTGGGTCCCAAGCGCCGGTCGCCCGTCCGAGGGAGCCACTGCGAGGCCTCGGGGCCTTCTCTAGGAATGCAGCAGACTTAGGGGAAGCGTCTGGGCGCAGAGGCTGTGCCTGGGAGATTCTGCCCATCACTCCCCGCTCCCATTCTTTGATGCGCACAGTTGAGGTCTTCCCAGGCTTACGTACAAGGGGCTGTGCAGGCCCAGCTTGCAGTTTCCACGCACGCTGCACCCCCGCTTACAAATGGAAGGCTGACTGGTGGTGGTGTGGGGGATACGGCCGAGAGAGGAGCCTGGGGTATCTATCCTTGCCGGCAGGAAACGTGTGCCTGCTGGTGTGGAGCGGTAAAGGGCTCGGTACCTGGCGGCCTCAGGTGGGTCATCCCCGTGTGCCCGCCTGCCCTGGAAGGGGCAGCTCTGTGAGGTCTCTGCGCCGGATTCCTAACGTCCGGCTGCACCTTCGCAGCCGGGATCCGAGCTGGATGCTGGCTGGGGTAGGCGGACCAGGGGAGGGAACCGGGAAATTTGGGGCTGGAGCTCCCTCTACAGGACGAAAGGGACGCTCGGCGTCTAGCCTCCGCGGCCTCTGCAGCCAGGCTCCGCGGGCGGGCGTCGCGCCCCTCCTCGCCCTCCTTTTCCTCTTTCAGTTCGCCAGCCGGGCCTGCCCACCCTTGACTTGAAGACGTTGTGGGGGATGCCTTCGAGAGCGACGCCCCGGGTGCCAAATAGGGGCATCTTTTTGCACCCTTCTTCCCCACGTTAGTAAATAGTCTGACGCCTAGCGTGTGACCATCTTGCGGGCACCCAGGAGGTGTGGGGAGAGCTCGCACACCCGAAGAGAGGAGCAAAGGCGCAGAGCAATACCGTCCACTTTCGAGGCTCGGCGGGAGCCAGGCAGTCTGGCAAGGACAGGCAACACAGGCACAGCTGCCAGCGCCGTGGCCCTGGGGACCCGCACAGAGGCGGCAGCCAGGGGTGAGTGGGGACCGGGTGTCCGCCCATGGGTCCCTCACGCGCGCGGGCAGAGCTGGCGACCTGGACGGGGACCCCTAGCAAGGACATCCTGCAGCCGGGCTCCTGCTCCTCTGGTACCTTCCCAGTCGCAGGAGACATCTGGGAGGCCCGCTCCTCTTCCCGCCTTGTTGTTAACGTGTCCTTGGGGTTCAGCTCCTTCCGAGGTCTCAAGTGCAGACTGAGGTTTCACTGTACCTATGCACACAGCAGCCCCCAAAGTGGAACCACTTCTGCCCATGGTGGGAGAATTTCAACTGTCTGGGCCAGGACTCTGAGGCTGACTTTGGGACCAGGCTGAGCCTTCCTGTTAGGAGGGTGATTATCTTGACAAGATCCACACCGCAGACCCTCCCCAGCGCAGCCTCACAGACTGACGTGCGGCGCACACCCAGCTCCCCCGTTTACCTTCTGCGAAGCTCTGGGCGGATGGTTAAGTTCTCTGTGCCCGTATTTTCTCATCTAAAGGCTGGGGACAAGGCTGCCTGACTGGCAGGTGATGGTGGTGACGATGAGAGCAAGCATGCCCCCTGCAGATCTGTCACAGCCTGCCCAGCCCCAGACCCAGCAGTATTCTGCACAGCCTCCTGGTAGCCAGAAAGATGAGGCATTTGCCTTGAGGCAGCTCAGGACCCTCTGCAAACCTAGATGGACCCAGGAAGAGGGCTGTGAACATGGTCATGTCCACAAAAGTTAGGCAGCCTGTCCTCACCGAGCAACCCACCCAGGGAGAGGATGGGCATGAAGAGGTGAGTGTGAGCTTGGAGAGGTCTGATTGAGGTCTCAGGGCTCTTGCCAGGGGAGACTAAGCTTGAGTCAGCTTCTCCGACCATCACATTCCAGGGATAATGATCCTTGGACGAGATCAATTCTACCCCTCTGCAAGGGCCGCAAGTGTAGGTACCAGGGGTGAACTGGCATAAATCTGGGAGTGATTTGACTAGGACATGTCTTCTTTTATCCCGTACAATGCTTGGGTTCTTCAAATAGCCCTAAATTGATCCCAATAAGATCATCTCGTCGAAACAAAACAGAGTCTCAGTTTTTCAGCAAAGAAGGAAGAGCAGGCAGCTCCCCTGCATGGCTGTTGCATCTCACCAGGGACAGCAGCCTCATTTCTCATTTTCCCAGGATCTCCCCTTCAGCCCTCACCTTCTCAGGGACCTAAGAACTGCCTCCATCCCTTATTGTTGGTCCTTAACATGTAAAAGGAAAGTAGTGGGGGGAGAATGAATATGGGTATATATGGTCCTGATTAAGCTTCAATTAGAAATAAAATATGTCAGTCACCCGCCAGGAAGGGGTTTCTGCTGTCGGGGTTGGTTATGCAAAGCACTTGAGGTGTATAGGGATAATCAATTAGGTCAGAGGAAGGAGTGTGTGGCGCTGCTTCCCTCATTATCTGCACAGAGCTGGGGGAGGAAGGAATTGCATCACAGGGCCAGGGAGCCAAAGGAGAAGAAAAGAATCTCCCTAAGTGACCATCCACCTTGGGGACTGGCACGCTAATGGTTTCCAATTGAATTTGTTTTCAGGGGAAAGAGAAGGAAGGTACGTGGAGGGGAGGCCCAGGGGCTGGGCACAGAGGCCCACTCCCCTGCCAGGTGAGGAGTGAGGTGGCAGTCCCACCTATGAGGCTGGTGTTCTCTGGGGACTTGGAGGCCGGGGAAGCCCAATGCCCCACTGTTTATGAAAGTTAGCCAGAATGATTGAATGCTTGCCTAGGAAGGAAGTAGACCTCATTTTCTATTTGTTTGGTTGGTTTGGCTTCTTGAGAATTTTATCAGTGACTCGATTTGGGCCTAAATGTTCATATCCTTCTGGAAATGTACTCTGTATCCTAGAATTCTTGGTTGCAGGTTCTCCCTCTCCTATGCAGCAAAAGTAGGTAATTGCTGGATACAGGCGTGTAAGACTTATGTCTGTGTTTTGCACTTACTTCAATGTGAGTAGGGATAAGCCTCGTACTCTCTCTAGGTCCCACTTTCAAAATCTGGAAAAATGGAGGGGATGTATTAGATGAATTTATACAAACACTCATACAAATCCAATAGTATCCAGGATCAGGCATAGAGAAGACTGTGTTCAAAGGTCATTATGGTGGTTAAGGGGCTCCCTATGCCCTCTGGATATTCCTCTTGGTTATAATTGGCCACTGTCATCTGACCCAGCAAACCAGCTTGACCACATTAAAAATGTCCACCTGTTGTGTGACCAACCTAGGTTTTATGTGGCTGCTGCTTTCCTGAGGAAGCCCCATCCCCCCGGAAGACCTTCTCCTCTGTGTAAATGAGAAACCACTGTACGAACATCAGTTTCTCGGGGAGGGCACAGCTGGGAGAGGTCTTGGGAATAGAGTAGTGGTTCCCAGCTAGGCAATTCTGTCTCCCCTTTCACCCTAGAATCATTTGACAATGTCTGGAGCTGACTAGCATCAGGGTGCCACAGACATGTCATGGGTGCAGGCCAGGGACGCTGTTAAGGGTCCTAGAAGACACCAGACAATGTTCCACCACAAAGAATGATCCATCCAGGGACCGCTTGGAACACACCTGATCTCATCCGCCATCAGGTCAGGAGCGGGGAGCGCTCGGGCTGGAAAATCATTCAGCTTAAGCTGTCAGTAGTGCTGAGGTTGAGGAACTCTGGACCTGAGGAAGGAGATGTTTCTGGGATGATCATACCAAGTGTTTTCTCCCAGAAACCACAGCTTTGTTGAGAGAAATATTAAAACAGGTTGCTAAGTGGAGTATTTTTGTTCTTTAAAATCTTGGCCTTGGAAGGAGGAAGTAAGGGTGAGAGACAGCCAACAGGAAACTCTTCAAGCCTGGGAAAATGACAGAATGGATCTTGCATCAGGTCTGTCGGTGGAACTTTCTCCAGCTGAAGGTGAAAGGGAATGAATCAGCCCAAAGAGGATGCATGTCTGCGAAGTTGGGCCTTTCTCCCTGGGATACTGATTTCAGGGGTCAGTGATAAGAAGGTTCTTATAGATGAAAGTTGGACTCCAGTCATTTTTGCATCATGGCTGCTCCAGTCCCTAGCTGCTGCCAGCTTTTCTCTGCACATAAATGCATGTATTTATTTACTCGCTTGCTTGTTTTATTTAGGTGTGTGTGTGTGTGTGTGTGTGTGTGTGTGTGTGTGTCCCATGTCGGGGAACAGGAGGGAGACAAAGGCAGGATCAGGTCTGACCAGCCAGCCAGCCTGGGAAGGCTGTGATTTCATGGCTTTTGTGCCCGGTGGTGAGCCCTGCATTCTCTCACTGCACTAGGCCGCTAACAAGTGGCCCACAGCCCTCCGGGGCCTTTGGAGTGCACTCATCTGGCAGATTGTTCTTCTCTCAGCTGCTCAGATTTATTTTACCAAAGTTACAGGGCAATTATGGAAATGCGCCCTTTGAAGCTGGGCTGATTTCTCTTTATTTTCTTCTCCCTGACAAAGCAGCAAAGCAGAGCTTCCCTGCCTCTTGGGGCTCTCTCTCCCCCACCCGCTCTCTCCCAACCTCTCTGTCCCCTTAGATAGTGGGAGTTTCCAAAGATAATGTCCAAAAAAATCTTTTAAATCATGGTAAAAATGTGTGTAGATTAAAATAATGTTACTATTAGTGTAATATTATTTTTTTAAATGGGACTTTGATGGCCAGGAAGGGAGAAATGAATTCATGCTAGCGCAAGGCAGAGGCACCCTCCCTGGATGGTGGGTCCCTGGAATGCTTACCAGGCTGGAGCCTATGGTGGGTGAGGCCCATGCAGCCCGCACAACCCTCTGCTATTCCCTGGAACCATAGTACCACACATCGAGCAGTCGAGCTTTGTTCCCTTACCTCACACCTCAGGAATAAGAAGCCCATACTCAACGGAGCTGTGTCACTGGGCTTTGTACATTATTTATCACCGTAGCATGGAATCTAGAGGCTCCATGTGAACCAGCACCACACACTTCTGTTCTCTGGTCCCACTTTTTGGGCACTGGGGTGTTGAGGAAAAGTATCTGAAGCCAGATGGTGTCAACCTGGGTGCTGTGGAGGGTGACAGTCAGCAGCCTGGATTGCTTGACGGAAGCAGGATTCAGCTTCTCATTTTTAGGGTGGCTTTGAAGTTTTTTTGTCCATATTTTTGTTTGCTCCTGCCTTCCTCCCATCCTGTCTTGAGGGTAAGTGGTTCACGATTATAGACAAACACTGACAGGAAATCTTGTCCCCTCAGGAGATAGTGTCAGCCTCCATGGCCTATGGAGACCATTTTAGTTCCTACTTCCTTGCACTGTTTAAAATAAAATAAAATGGAGTTAAGTAAGTGCTTATGATTTGATAGATCCTGTGGTAAGCACTTTTCCCGCATTTTATTTCATGTTCACAGCCCCCTGGGGGAAGAGGCCATTATTATCTCTCTCACAAATGAGGAACCAGAGCCTAGAGAAGCGGGCAGAGGGGTGGAGGGTGTTGAGAAACTTCTAGAAGCATGGAACAACATCCACTCCATAGAGTGGGGAAGAAAAGCAGAAGACTTCATGTAGCGTGGTGCATTTGTTTGTGTGAGAAGCTAGTAAGAGTGATTGCCTCAGGGGAAGGATCTGGTAGCTTGGGATCAACAGCAGGTGGAATGCTCCTTTTAGGCTATGTTAATGTACTGGCTCTAGAAAACCCTATTTCTCTTTTGTTTTTGAGTAACTAAAATGAATGTGGGAGAAGAGGCAGGAAGATACTAACTTCTCTGGCATTAAAAATGATTCATGCATTGGACACCCACAGATACTCACTGTTAGCTTGGTATCTTGTGATAAAATACACCAAGTTAAGTAACTTAAAAGGAAAAGAGATTTACTTTAGCTCATGATTTCAGAGATTCAACCCATAATTGGTTGGCTCCACTGCTTTTGGGCAACATATTATGGTGGGATTGGTGGTGGAACAAAGCTGCTCACCTAATGGCAGCAGGACAAGGAAGGGGTAAGGTCCTATATTCCCTTCCAGGTCGAACCTCCACTGATCTCACTTCCTCCCACCAGGCCCCGCCTCTTGAAGATTCTGCCAGCACTCAAGAGCACAATCAGTTGAGAACCAAACCTTTAACTCATAAACCTTAGTGGGGGGTGGGGGACTTAAGATCCAAACTCTAACACAAAGTATTTGTGTGTACTGGACCACGCACCTCACACATGGTGGTCCAGGAAGCAGGAGTCAGACACCCTTGGTTCGAATCCTGGCTCCATCACTCCCTAACTGTGTGACCTTGGGGAACTACCTGAACTATTCTGAGCTTTGCTGTATCCTAAAGCAGGAAGAATAATTATTATATTAGCTCCCTCATAGGCCACTGAGAGAATTATACAAGTTCATTCATACTAAGAACAATGCATCCTGCATAATGATTTGCCTTGTGCATCCTAATGACCTGATAAACTGTATTTGTTAACCATATCAGCTACCTTAGGTGATAGGCATTATTTCTCCATTTTATACATAGGTAAATCCAGGCCCAGCCACTTGCTGAACAAAGCCAGTAAGTGGTAAAGCCAGTGCTCTGACTCAGGTCTGCCTGACCCCAGACACACAGCATGCATTTATCTGCACTGGACTCTCTCACCGTGTTATGAGTCTGGATTTGGAGCGTGTGGCCCTGCCTCTTTCCCACATACCCTGCTACCTGACCCACCTGATGTTCATGGGCTTGATCCTCTTGGATGGGCCGAGGTCATGGGAAGCTGCAGTCATGGACAGGTTCTCACTGCATCCTACCCACTTCCACTGTGGCAATGACTGAGGGGTGACCTTGAATTTGTTAAGGTTTGTTCTTGTTTTGCTTTCCTGTTTTTTTGTTTTGTTCATGCTACTGGGATTGAACCCAGGGTCTTCACAGTGAGCTACATCCTTGGTCGTTTTTAATTTTTTATTGTGAGAGTGTCTCCTTAAGTTGCTAAATATCTCAGATTGAACTTGAACTTGTAATCCTCCTGCTTCAGCTTCTAGAGCTTTGGAATCACAGGAATATACCACCTGGCATGGTTTTATTCTATTTTTTAGTAAGTCATCTTCAGTTCTAGTGGAAGAATCTTCATTCCAGTGGGTATACATCAAGGTTTTGCTGTTTGTGGCCATCCATACCAGCAGGAGGAAGCCTGCTTCTACTTCTGCATCATTGTTACTCAACGTGTGGTCCATGGACCACCATCAGCAGCACAGAGAGTTGGTTAGAAACACAGTCACCCGAGTCTCCCTCCAGACGCACGAGTCAGAATCTTCATTTCTGACAGAATGTGAGGGACACAGCTGCAGATGAAAGTATGAGTTGCCCTGTCCTCAGGATGCCCCAGTGAAATATGTGGCCTCACCAGGATGGAGGCAGAACTGTCTTTGAGACTTGGGCCTCCACAAGAAATGCACATGGAGCTGGGGAATGCTGGGGTGTGGAGGTGAGGGGACAAAGGAGCAAAGGAGGTCGAGGGGAAGGTGTCAAGCACCAACTGATTAGGCAGGACCCCCGATGTATTTTGCCTCCTTCATCACATTTAAGCATGCTTGTGTTTGGCTGTGAGGAACACTGGGGAGGGAGGAAAGAAGGAAGGAAAGAGGCAAAGGAAGAAGGAGGGAGAGGAGGAGGGAGGGAGGGGACTGACCATTTGAAATGGAACAAAATAGGTGGGATTGCCCCAGAGGGCAAAAGCTATTCCATTCACTTCTTTATATTCATTCACTCTTAGTCTGTTGGAAACAAATTGTTTAGTAATAATAACATAACAATAATAATGTGTTGCATTTGCTGGATTAAAACATAAAACAAGATGCTATAAGCATTCAATGAAGAGGAATCTAACCTAGTTTGGGGTAGGGTGGGAAAGGCAGCAGGTACAGATAGGACTATATATCCATGTGCTGGTTTCCCAGGAGGCCTGTGGCACAGCAGGAAATTGCTAGATTCTAGACATGTGCCACCTAATACAACAGCCATTAACCATCCACAGCTACATGACTAGGATGAAGTGAGATGTGACATAAATGCAAAATACCTTTGGAATTCAAAAATGTAGTATATTGGGGGGAAAAGGAATGTAAGGTAGCCTAATAATTTTATGTTTTTATACATGAAATAATATTTTGGACACATCTTGTTAAGTAAGATATTTTATTAAACTCAGTTTCACCTGTCTTATACCTGTTGCTACAGTGATTAAATTTTCAGCATAAATGGCTCAGGCATATTTTTTCTGGGCAACTCCACCCTCAGGAGAGTGAGATCGCAGGAGGCCAGCATTCCAGGGCCACTGTTTGCCAGCTACAGCCCCTTGAGCAAGTCACCTTAGCAGCTCTGAGCCTCACTGGCAGCCTCTCTACTATCTAGCACTTACTGAGCAGATTGGGTGTGCTGAGCACATGCAGGAATTCATTCCATTTTCATAGAGTCCTAGGAGATCATTACTGCTGTTCTCCCCCAGTTTGCAACTGGAAAAACTGATGCTCGCTAAGATGTGACTCACTCAAATCTATATCCCCAAGAAAATGGGGGAAACAGGATTTGGCCCAGGCCATGTGGTTCCAGGGCCTCTGTTACAAAATCTCTGCACTGCCAGAAACGTGGCCATGGTACCTGCTCCACAGAACCACAGGTGTGTCAGTCAGCTCCATGTCACTATAACAAATACCTGAGACAATCAGTGTATAACAAGAAAAGATTTACTTTGCCTCACAGTTTGGGAGGTTTCTGTCCATGGTCAGTCAGCCTCACTACTTTTGGGGCTGTGGTTGGGAGCACATAATAAAGCAGAATCGCTCATCAATGGCCGGGACACAAAGGAGAGAGGAAGAGTCTAAGGTCCCACTGTCCCTGTTAGGGCCACAGCCCCAATGACCTGAAGGCCTCCTACCAAACCCACCTTGGAAAAGTTTCCCTGTCTCCCACAGTGCCATTCTGGGGACAAAGCCATTACCACCTGGGCCTTTGGAGGACACTGAAGGACCAAGCTATAGCATATAGAGGGTTTCCATTGAGATAAGAATGTATGCAAGATACTAGGCATAGTACCTACACCACATAGGTGTTCAGTAAGTGATAGTGGCCTTCACAAAGGACTTATTACCAAAAATAAAATAATAATAATCAAACAATGGTCTGCTTTTAGCAGAAGTCACACTTTAAGACACTGCATTAATCATCTATGGATGAAGATCAAATTATCCCAAACCCTAGTGGTACAAAACAACAAATGGTATTTAGCCTTATAGTTTCTGTGCATTGGAAATTCAAGAGCAGCCTGATCAGGATCTTCTGGCTCAGGGTGTCTCACAAGGGGACAGTCATGGTGTCAACTGGCTGCTGTTAGCTGGAGGCTGGACTGGGGCAAGAGCATCCACATCCAAGATGGCGCTCATGCCTGTGGCAGGAGCCCTCCGTTCTGCACACAGGGACCTCTGCACTCAGGGACCTCTCCACAGAGCTGCTTGAGTGAGCTCACAGCAAGCAGCTGGCTTCCCTCAGAGCAAGTAATCTGAGAGAGAGCAAGATAGAAGCCATAATGTCTCTTATAACCCAGCTTTGGAAATCAGACGTCATCATTTCTGCAACATCCCATTACAGTGATATATGTGCACTCTAGTCAGCGTGAGAAGGGAGGGGTCATCGGGGCCATCTTGGAGACTGGCTATTTCAGTCATGGGCATATCTGTGTAACTTAAGGCCCCATTTCCCATCTAAGAAGGAATACTCTTGAGATGCTGAGAGTCTGGGCGCTTGGGTGCAAAGGACGGAAGCCCGGTTCAAACTGTCTTTCCTGAAAACAGGCTTATTTATCCTTGTAGTTGAAGAAAACAATGGCAGAATAAGCAACAATAATAATAATATCTAGCCTTTATTGAGCATGTATTATGTGCTAAGCATATGCTTTAACTCAGTCCTCACAAAGACTTAATAAGGTCGGTACTGAATGTAAAGCAGAAAGCAACCCAGGGATCTGACAGCATCATCAGTACTTTCTTTTTCCTTCCAGCTTCTGCTTCAGTACTCATTTTCTCTGACCCCTCTGGGTGAGGAGGACAGTCACCATGATGTCTGTGGCCATGGCCTTAGAGCTGGTGACCCAAAAGGAAAGAAGTAGTGTTTTCTCTTGTTCTGTGTCCATTGTCAAATTCCAACAGAGTCCTTTGATTGATTCATCTTGGGTCATGTGTTCATTGTGGCACCAATCACAATGGCCATGGGGCGTGGCAAGAAGAGGCATTTCCTTGGAGAAAGTAAGGCTGCTTAGACTACTATAAATTCATGGTATTCATAATCATGGGTGTCTGCTCCACTGCAGAAGGTGAGTGGTAGTGAAGAGCTGAGGGAAAAGATCTATGACAAGGTTGGGAGGCAAGTGAAAAGGAAACATCAAAGACCGCCATGCAGGGGTGGGGATAGAGCAAAGGCCGAAACCAAAAACAGTCGACCTCACAGCCCTAAAGTCTATGTCAGATCACACATTGGGATGGACATGGAATGTGCCACAACTTCTCAGGTTTGCACATCATAGTAGCTCTAGGAGAGACCCATACCCTGAAGATCTGAGATCAGACCCAAAGTAGCCATCCATAGGCGTTTATTTTATGTTAGATATACCAGAAATTTCCTCTTCCTCCCTGATGTTCTTCTGCTTGTCTTGTAATAAAGGCAGCTTCTCCTTAAAAGCGGTGCAGATAAAGTGGATAATTTAAGACCTTTTTATCCTGTGGTTTTGATACTTTCTGGGATGCTGTTAGGTACCATGGAGCTCTTAGTGCATTGATTCAAGAAGCTTAGGCACGTGGGGTGGGCAAACACTGGATCCCAGTGGAGGCAGCAAAGTAGGAAGGACCAGGCTAGAGCGGGAGAGTCTTGGAAGACCCATGCTCTGCTTGAAATCACCAGAACTTCAGAACTTTACATTTTCCCTTGTCTCACTGTCCCTCCAGCTGTTTTCAGACTTGAGCCTGAGCACTGATACCTGTTGGTCGGTGCTGGGAACTAGCTTGACACCTGTTGGTCGGTGCTGGGAACTAGCTTGACACTGGGTCAAGTATCAGCACATACTTAGTAAATATGCACCAAAGGTACTGATACTTTGGAATTCAACAGCAAAGTTAAACTTTTCTTGAAGATATCCTTTAGCTCTGTAGAAAGACCACTTGCAAATATTTTATTAAATAAGGACAACTCAATATTATAATTACAAATAAAATTTTATTAAAATGTTTTAAGTTATTAAATATTAATAGCAGTTCAAATTCTATTATAAAAGTGGAGTAATTACAGAAGAGAGTAAGGGTTGCCCCGTGTTCAGGTTTGTCATATGACAAGGACTTGTCATAGTGTTTTCACATACAAAGTCAGCACAAGAGTGTGCTTTGAACCAGCAGTCACTCTATTTTTAGTTGTCTGGTAACCTCTCCCTGCCACACCTGAGCACTCTAAATATATACTCAGCCCCTCCTGACTCCCACAAAAATATTAAGGCACAGTTGGGGCCATTTATGAGGTCAGTCAGTGAGGTTTGGGCTGGGCTGTGTGTCATATGCTCTCCATAATTTTCCTAAGATGCTCTTTTTATTTTGTCCATGTAGCACTCATGCCAGGAGGTCTCCACCCCAGATCTGTCCTCCCAGTAGGGCCCCTGACCTTTTGTGTCCTGGAATACAGCAGAAGAACAGGATGGCATGGCCCAGCTGGAAATAGTACTTGGGAAGAGGCCACCAACTTGACTGCTTGC